GATGTGCTGTCTTAGTCGATCTGCTTATATGGTTCAGAGATTTGTGGTTAATGTATGGTTGCTGAGAATGAGCGAGTTCCCACTCTTTCAAACTACTTTCCCTGTTTTGGATACTTGGCTTGTTTGAGGACAAACAAGGGTCTAAGTCTGGGGGAGTTGATATATTGTGTCTTTGACATAAAATAGGTATTCTCTACTAATGGTTTTAATGGTTTTATCGAGTCTTTCCAGTTGTTTTTAGTCATTACAGGTTGAACGAATGTGAAGAAAACCGAGCAGCAAAGAGGATCTGTATTGCCAGCACATTAAAGACTAAATCCTTAAAACCCTTCATTAAGGATTCATCCTTAGAGCATCCGCAACAAGGAATCCTTAAGGGGAATCCTTAGGAAAAAAGAAAAAGGGGTATTTCAGATTATATAAGGATATTTCGGATTATTTCTTTAAAATAAAAAAATCTGACCAATCGTGGACCGACACATGGACAGTGGAGCCCATGAATAGTGTAAGGATCCATCCGGATCAATCCTTACATAAGGATTTTATTCTTAAAATCCTTAATTGTTCATGGGACCCATTGGTTATAAAATTAATATTTCCTTAAGAATTCTCCCTAAGGATCCCTTGTTGCGGGTGGTCTTAGCTGGTCTGATATTTTTAGTATTTTTTAATCTAAAAAGCTAAGGACTAAGTCTGAGAATTCGCTAACATCCCGCATTGCGGGTGGTCTAACATCCTTCGATGCTCTTTCTCCGCAAAGCCGTTATTCCACTGCAAATCAAGATTTTCCTAACTAAATTGTAATTTCTGAAAAACGTAGTTTCATTTGTTATAAAACTGTAAGATGTACAAAATTTTACTTTTATGTTTAATTTAATTTCCTGCTTTTGCAAAGAATATATAAAAAGTTGAGAAAAAATTATCTAGAGTGATATCCATTTTATCTTCCAATTGAAGACCTTGTTTTGCACCACTTTTTCTTAATGAAGATTGATCACGGGAAAATTGATTTCAAAGCAAAGTGATAGTTATATTTATCAATGATAGAAATACCTAGCAACTTATGCTGGTGAAAAAACACATCACTTAAGGTGACTATTCATTTTTTAAAAAATACTTAAAAATGGAGTATAAGTACATACATAATTCATTGGATACATGGGTACCCATATAAACAAAAATAATATTTAATATAAAAAATATATCAAACAGAGAATATAAACATGATTTTCATTTCGTGTCATAAACACATAACATCAAGGAAACGCATGATCTCTCACTCTTTTGATGTTACACGAAACAGACCAATTCCTCTCATGCCCCTATTTCTCATTCTTTAATCTTTCTATGACTCATTTCTTTTTTTAATTTTATATGTCAAAAAAAAATCATAAAATTAAACTGGAAATGTGAATATTTTTTATTTGATTTATAGAATTTTATAAAAATATTTCAAAATTCAAAAAAATAAATTTTCCTATTTTCGTGAAAATCATCAAAATATGATTAAAAATGATTTTAAAATATATTTTTTTCGAAATTTGATCACTATAGAATTTAAATATTTGCCCAAGGATTCACTAATCCATAGGGGGTTTTTGTTTAGTTTTGAACACCGAGAATGATTTAATTGGGAGTTTGAGTTTTGATTAAAACAAAGAATTCTGAAATAGGGGTATAAGAGATCTTGAGAGTCCATAAAAGAGTAGCTTTACAAAAATAGGGGCATGAGTGAAGATGCCTCCACGAAACATGGCAATAAGGTTAAGTAACACGTGGATCATTATAATATTTGGATCTGTGCAGCATGGGCCTATGCTTGGTTGCACGTAATATTTGCAAATTCAGTCAAATTACATCATTGTCTTGGCTTCAAAGCTGTATCATTTTCCTGGTGGCTGTTATCTTGGACTGTTGGAACGCTTCATCTTAACTTCTTCTTTTTTTCTCCTTTTCAACAACAACACGTCATCTTCTCATGTTCTTTCTAATCTACAGCTCTTAATAACTAAGAATTAAATACTTTGGAAAATTATTTATTTTTTTCTCACTGTTAGGACTGAAAGTGAAACTTCCAACTCTTTAGATATTTCAAGAAACATTTATCATATGCTTTGGATGTCGGCTCATTGGCAATGTAAATATAAAGTTTTTTTAGCAGTTGTTTTAACAAAAAAAAATCTATTGAAAAGAGTGTAAGATGTTGCTTTTTAAAAATGACTAACATAACGAGAAAGAAATGTGTAAATTCATTCTTAACACTTATAATTTTCAAAAAGTGATGATAACAATGTAGGTTTCAAACACAAAAATAGTTTACTTCCATGTATCATCTATTTTGATCTTTTTGTTTCTTGTTGGCTGTTCAGATTTACTAACATAGTTTTCTTTGCTTTTTTTTCCTTTGTATTCAGATGACTTGTTACAAATATTTTACTTTACTCTGCTTTCAATTTAGACGTTTTTTTCTTCTTTTATCTTTCATATTCTCCCTCATATTCTTTTTAATGTTCTCATCTTGTTCCTCCTCTCTATGACATCATGAATAATATTACTATCCCTCACATTCATGTTACCCTTTATATATACAATTTATTTTGGTAAATAGCAAGGTTCATGATAAAGAAAAAAATAATGATTAAACAGTAAGTTAGTACTAAAAATATTAGTCAATTATATTGTTTTGTAGCAGTGTCTCTTTTATTGGTTTCAACGATTGTAATACCAACAGATGTATATCTGAAGTTATTTGAATTTAATTCTTATTGTAAAAATAAATTCACCACCAACGAGATTTTCATTTAGAAAATACATTACAACATTGTCTTCCGTAACATTGTCATTGATGTTTTACTATATATTTTAATTATTCCTTATTAGAAAAATTTAAACAAAAATAAATTATTTAACATAAGAAAACGTACAATGCGTTTAACCAAAATATAATAGTTTGATTGATCTTTGTTGAACATTATGAAGGATGTTGTATCTCAACCATCATCGACAATTAACTCTACTCGATACCTTATAAATAATCCATCTATTATATTTTGGACGCATAATAAAAAGAGTGATTTACTATTATTATAAAATCATATACATATTAACCTTAATGATCCAATTATGTCTTGATGTGAATAGCTATCACATACAAGTGTGTCTCCCATTGCACGTATCACATGAAATGTTGTTCTAACCACTTCTAGAACATTAAGAATATTGCTTTCTATTTTTGGGAGTATTCTTATAAAAAACCATTTAAGTATATTACAATATAAATTTTGCTTAATATAACTAACTATTTTGTTAAGTTATGGATTTAACTTTGCTTGAAATCAGTAATTGCATTTATTGGGTCATCAAATATAATATTTTGAAGCAGATGTCGTATTCATATATAAATACTGCAATGTTATTATTATTCAGTTACATATTATTTACTATATATAAAAAGATTATAAATATAATCTTCATAAATAACTTGTAAATTAGCTGAATATAATCTCGAATTAACACTTGTTATTATAATAATTAAACCTTTGGAATTTTTTATTATAATTAGTAACTTATTCACCTCAAATAGTTAAACTTAATTTACTCCTACTATGGTGTCAACATTAAAAATTTTTAGTTAGGTATAATGCATATCGATTTCTATTTTTTTTTAAAAAAATATCACTATATTTACCATTCAATGATTATGTCTATAACTATTTTTGAGTTCATATCAAGGTTTTCTACATTCAAGAGTCCTCTTTCTATTAAAAACTAGATTGTAATACAATAAATCCATTAGATAAAAAATCATCAATTAAGGTTTAAAATTAAATATATAATTCTTTTTATTTTACTTATTTAACCACTTATAACTAACCTTAAAATTGTTTATTTGTATTGTCTAACAATCGAAATTGCTCATACTTAAGAAACTAAAAAAATTCAAATTCTATTCACACCAATGAAAAATTAATAATCTCGCTTGTTGATTGAGCATTAATATGTACCTGAAACCAATGATTAATTTTTTTTTTATAGTTTACAGTTGTTTTCCAAACTCAAAATCAGTCAGCAATAAAATATTTTCCTCAACAAAATCTTCTTCAAATTGTTGGATATATTTATTATTTATAGATCCAACAATTGTCTCATTCTGAATAACAAATGAATAAAACAATAAATATAACATTCAAAATATTATATATAAACATTAAATTAATCTGAAATAAAACTGCCATAACACGATAAAAATAGATGATAACAAACAGAATAAATAACTACACTAATAAGGAGACATGCTAAATATAGAAAACGTTAACAATTACTAAGAACACCATTATCCCACAACTCCCTTATGGGATGCTTAGTCATATAATAATAGTATTTAAGATGTTTTTTTGTTAAGGAACTTAGTTAAGGCACTTTTTATTTTTCCCCCTCTATTGCAAGTATCTTATTTAGGGGTGCTTAAATTTTTTTAAAAAAAAATTGGAAGAAGAATGTTTGATCATGTGTTATAAATTGTTTGAAGATGAGCAAGAAAAAATTTGAGAATGAAGAAGTAACTTGAAATGGATTTGAGAAAGAAGAAGAATGTTTGATCTTGTAAACTTGAGATGAACGAATGGGTGTTGACAAAAATCACAGACCAGGTGGCTAACTTCTCTCGTGTACAAACAAAGTTCTCTAATTTTCACAGAAGTATGTACATGCGTACAAAGTTATCAATGGATAGATGGAAAAAATCTACAAACTACTAAATATCAAAACTAAGATGGGGCACGGCACATAAACAGAAGATTATTTAAAGCTAAATCCTTTAACAACAAAACTTTATGATTGGCTAACTAAACAACATTCATTACTCAGACACATTCATTACTCAACAAAATTCATTACTTAACCATAACCTAACACTAAAGATACCACTAGTTACCCTCTATTCAAGCCATACGAGCAGCTAAATCATATCATTTAAGAACATATCAAAAATTAACACTAACCTGTCTTGCATTCTCTTCCTTTGTCCGATGAACCTTCCTACCGTCTCGTTCATCCATCCATCTGACCAAACAAAGAGACACACATTAAATATAATCAACAGACAGAAATCACCCAAACAAAGAACTCAAAACTGAATCAAACTTGCAACAAAATTGATCTTGCATTTAAGACCAATTGGTATACTATTTAACAATAACCAAACAGAACAAAGAGACATCAAGTTCATTCCTTCCCACGCTCACCTTGTGTACTTGGTGAAGAATGGATCTCTCATGAGACGCCCATAGCATCGTCCTTCTCCTAACCTGAACAGGAAAAGAAACAAGGATTTTAATAAATTCAGCTATGACATTTTATGTAATTGAAAGGGTTATAGCTCAAAAATCCAAGACCTGACAGAACAAAGAGACATAAGTTCATTCTTGTTGATTCCATATCTGCCGTCGTGAGCCACTGAGAGACATGCATGATTGAACAACCAAATAAAAAAAATTAAAACTTGCGGCAGAACAACAAGAATCATAATCTAATACATGGTTGATTGAACAACACAACAACCACTTTACCTTTCGATTTGAGGAGAGCCGCACAGAGAGAGGTCTGTTGCCGTCTCCGTCGAGGAGAGAGAAGATGAGTGATTCATCGTCGAGGAGATATCGTGAAAGACAGGCAGAGTCGTCGATGACAGCCACGAAAACCGGAATCGCCGACTGATTCATTCGACGACGAGAGATCAATCACGACGTTTTCGATTCAAAACCGTCTGATATCGAAGAGAGAAAGAGAGATGATGGTGATTTCGCGAAGAGAAAGACAAACTGAGAGAAAAAAAAAGATGAGGGAGAACATGAGGCGTGAATGAAAGACGCGTGTCCATAAGCGACCATCTACTCCTTCACTTAATTAAGCTATGTTGCTTCAATTGAAAGGTAATATCCTTTTAAATTTAATGACAATTATGCTAAGAAACCCCATTAACAACATCGATAAAGGTGCTCTAAGAGTTGCATATAGCATTAAGATATAGAAAATGTTAACAATTCTCAATAATTTTTATTATATTCATTTGCTTTTTATAATTTTTTGCTGTCTTTGAAACAAAAATAGCTTTATACATGCGCCCTTTTAAAAATGTAAATATTAATTGACTACAGTGAATGTGTGTTTGAACAATCAAGCATGAACATGATTTTAAATGCAAAATTCAAAAGTATAGAAAACCAAGATTGATAATTTCATTGTTTCATTTAAGATTTTTTGCTATCCAAACACAAATGATCCTTCCTACTATTTTTTGTTGACAATGTTTCACTTGAATATCTTCTAACAATTTGTATTTAGGTAATTTCACAGAACTTTTATTCTTCACCATATTTTTAGATTAGTGAAAATTTTAATTTCCAAAAAATTATAGACGTACATTATATATAGATATTCAAAGAACTTGTTGAAAAGTTACAGTTCTTAGAATATATGTAATTCAAATAGATACATCTTTTCAGAAATATATATCTTGAATAGATATTTTCTTCCAAATTAACTAACTTTGAATAGACACATTATTTTTCAAAAAATTATAATAAAAAACATTTTTTTTTGGCTTGGAACATGGTAAGGGGTAATGATTCATCTATTACCAAAATTATATATATATATATATATATATTATATATATGTATCTATCAATATTGGTAGGAAATATTTATTAATAGTTGTAGGAAATAATTGGTTCACCACGAGTTAGTACAGATTTCCTTTAATGGTAATTGTAATTACAGATAATCTTCATAATAATATTTTTTTATTATTTTACAATGAAAATATATATTTAAATTAACTATTATACAATTTTTAAAACAAATAATTATACAGACATTTTCTAGGATATTAAAAATCAAAACAAAATATTTCATATTAATGAGGTTCACAACCTTTCATATTAATTGAGATTGTTATTATTATTAATATATATATATATATATAATATTTTTATGAATATTTATTTTTTAATTTTTTTGTAGAATATCCAGTAGAGTTAGATGTTATTTTTTTGAGTTTTTCTCAGAAAATGGGTAGTTTGACAATTATTTCTACAAAAGTATACATTTGTATTTTCGCGGGAAAATTCCTATATATCAGAGAATTAAAAATATCGTGTTTCTTCGTTCATGTATGGACATATTATAAAAATATTAAAGAAATTTCCTCGTATTCCAAAAAGAAAAAGGAAAAGTTTAGGAAAATGTCCAATCAAAACAAAGTCTACTCTTCACGTTTTCTCTTGTATAAAGTCTTCTCCTTGACGTTCGACCCTTTGGTCAATCGGTTCATTTCAATTTTCTATAAGATCTTTGGGTTAGATATTTGGAGCATCTCCGACTTAACCCAAGAGAGAGAGAGATCATGGATGCTAGAGCTGTTCTTATTACCGGCGAGATAGACAATTACGATGGCGTTACCGTAACAATGGAGGAACCAATGGATGCTGAGGATTTCACTGAAAGACTTAGGGCTTCGCTTTCACATTGGAGACAAGAGGTCTCTACATCATCACCACTTTCACATTTCTATGGATTTGATTGTTCTAATAATTGAAAGTCTTGCGTTTTTAAATTTGCAGGGGAAGAAAGGGATTTGGATAAAGCTACCTCTTGGATTGGCTAATCTTGTAGAGCCTGCAGTTAGTGTAAGAGATTTTAATACATCTTTTCTTGATTTGTTTGTTTGACTTTTGGTAATAGGTTTTGTTTGTGTTTCAATCTTCAGGAAGGGTTTAGATATCACCACGCAGAGCCTTCTTACTTGATGCTTGTGTCTTGGATCTCTAACACTCCTGATACAATCCCTGCCAATGCTTCTCATATTGTTGGTGTTGGTGCTTTGGTCCTCAACAAAAGCACTAGAGAGGTAATAAAAACCAAATCTATTCACTTTTGCATTTTTATTCTTTCAGTGATGTTGGTTTGACTTAACCGAGATGGAAACCAAATGGAATGAGCGCAGGTCCTCGTTGTCCAAGAAAAGAGTGGTTATTTCAAAGATAAAAATGTGTGGAAGCTGCCAACCGGTGTTGTCAACGAGGTGATTTACATCAGTTTTTGTTTTTGTCATATTTAGGGATCTCTTGTGCTGCTAATGCCTGATGAACAATAATGAGTGAACCGAATTTAATCTCATGAGTATCCAAATAAAACCTGACAAGCTTTTGAAGAAATGTAGCACCTAATCTCTGAGCTATAAGTCTAGGACTGAATGTAGATTGTTAGAGAGCAACTAGTGACTAGTGAGCGCCTCCTCGCTTATGAAGTGTCTCAGCATATTGTCTACGAGAGAGTTGAGAATCTGTTATTAATGAAGTCTATCTTTGGCTGCATCTAACGAAAACTTTCCAAATCCACAGGGTGAGGATATTTGCGCTGGAGTAGCTAGGGAAGTGGAAGAAGAAACTGGTGTATGTATCTTGCTTCCACTAAAGAAAAACAATCTATTTTAAGGATCCTTTTATTCACTTACCTCTTATTCTTTTTATTGGGGTTTTTTTTTTCACTTCAGATTGTTGCAGATTTTGAGGAAGTGTTGTCTTTCAGGTTAGTTATCCTTTCATTGCCTTGGAAAAAACATTTGATTTGTCTTACCACATCAGTTCTGATCGGTTTATTCTTTCTTTACTCGTATAGGCAAAGCCACAAAGCATTCTTGAAACAGAAAACTGATCTGTTTTTCCTGTGTGTCTTAACTCCACGCTCTTACGAAATCACTGAACAAAAATCTGAGATCTTGCAAGCTAAGGTAACTTTTTACTATTGATGAGCCAAGAAAATGTTGTTTAAAACTTACTGTCACTGCATTTTCCAATATCATCTGACCTTGTTATATATCGTTTTTTTGGTACAGTGGATGCCGATCAAAGAATACGTAGACCAGCCATGGAACCAGAACAAGGAGATGTTCAAGATCATGGCTAACATTTGCCAGAAGAAGTGTGATGAAGAATATTTGGGATTCTCCACTGTGGAGACTAAAACAGGAAGTGGTAAAAAGAGCTTTGTCTACTGCAATGCTGATCACGCCAAGAGCCTTAATGCAATGAGTGGCTAAGCCTCATCTTCTCTCTGATAAACATTCTGTTGCATCTCAAGCATTTGTGTTTCTTCTACCTTCTTCCAGTGCATCCTTTGGCCTTGTCTTCGGTTATTACTCTTCAAATCATACAAGTCTTAACCGGTTTTTAATTCCCAGCTTTTATGTTTCATGTTACTTCTGGTTTAATGCGGTTTAATTCGATATCCCAGGCGGGCTGATTTATCCAATATATGCTCAAATGTTCTTGTTTTATTTGATCGTTTCAGTAACGATTGAAGTTAAAAAAAAAAAAGCTGGAACTTATGAAAGAAGCTGTGAATGTGTTGATTGATCTCGTCAGGGTTTTCCTCGTGGAGGAAATGTCCCACTCCGTTGAGCACGACGGTTTCATCTAGCAAATGGTACGTCTCTCTTAAAACCACCACCGTGAATGTATTCATTCCTTAACCCCCGGTGAAATGTACGACAAATCTTGATCTCCGACTATGAACTTTACCGGCACACCAATCTTAGCACCGGTCCAAGGTGCAGTCAGCTCCCAATTTCTGTTTACAAAAGCAAACCGGAATTTAGCCCGATTGGTTAAAAATGTGATCGTATATCTATTGAACCGGGTGAAAGATACGTACCGGTCAATGTGTAATAGTTAATTGCTCCAGACTCCAGTGAAGCCTCTCTTCTCATACTTGCTGACGTAATAGTCGAGATCTTCTTGTGTTAACCACGGTTTTGAGGCAGACGCAGCGTTTTCTGAGCGTTTGAAAAGTTTGCCTTTGGGAAGGTAAAGCGGCCAGCCGTCTTGTAGGTGAAGAACATAAATATAAAACTTTGATAGTGTTATAAGAATTTGAATATATGATTTAAATTTAATGTTATATATTATATAATTGTATATTTTTTTGTTTAATTTTCTTATTCGTCATTATTAATATATAGTAATTTGTTTTAAATATTTTAAAACAAATTAAAATCTATTCTTATTGATTGTTATTACTTATTAATATATTTTAACATCTATTACTTTAGAATTCTGCAAAATTTTATAAATTAATATATTATTATTTATTGAAAAGTTTTTTATAAACTATACATAAAAAACCCACACGGTTTTGCAGGTCAAGATCTAGTCTAATCTATTAAAACAAAGTCATATTTTTTTATCTACTTGCAAATAGTCTAGATTAGACCTTTTAATTTATTTAGTTTTTATTATTTACATATAACAAACTTAGTTATTATTAAATATACACAAATTTAACATATTATTTAAATACTTTCAAAATAAGATATCAAAAGATATTACCAAGTATCTTTTCTAATATTGCATTTTTTGAAAATAACTTTTGATATCTTTCTTTTAAATATAGATATTAAATTGTTTTAATGCTTTTTTTAAATAAAAGAAATTCGTAATTATTTATATTTAATTTATAATGAATATTAATTCATTCTGATTTATTAAATAAGAAATATCATTTCTATAATATTTATAAAAACATAATTCATATTCATAATTAAATTACTAAAATAAATATTATATATATAGACAACTTAATTACAACTACTTTATAAATTTATAAATTAAAAGAATAATATGCATGATAACATATATTCGTACTATTTAAAACATATTTCAATTTACTAATGCAAAAATTAAAATAAATATTTTAAAGAATAAATAGTTTTAGATTTAATATAATATCTAAATTAGCATATTAAAATAATATAATAAGTTTAAATTTGATAAAATACAATATTATATTTAGTTAACATTAATATTATTTGATTTATAATTACAGTTTCTTACAGCTTATTTCATAAAAATGTAAACATTTATTAAGTATGTAACGGGTTAAATGCCATATAATTAACTTATATTATCATAAATATTTATTTAATATTATAATAAATAAACCTTGACAAATATAAAAAATAAAAAAATCATGTTATAGTACAAATCAGGTTAGGATATAATACATCGGTTTGATTCTAATTTGTATAACATCTTGAACTCCATAAAATAATCATATATTGTTCAGATTTGGGTTATATTAGTTTGGTTCAGATATATCTGAAGTTAAATCTAAAATTTAAAAGCAAAACATAAGAAGTAAATACTTACTTATATAGGATTGGATATTTAAAATATTTATTCCAAAATTTAAAAACTTATTTTTTGAAATTATTTCTAAATAAATACAGAATTGAATATTTGAAGTACATTTTTTTTATTGATATTTGTGAGTAATTTGGACATTCATTGATTTTTAAGTTTTCCACATTTTTGGTTTTTTGAGTTATTTGTTCGGGCTTGGATAATAACATTTAGGGTTTCGATATGTTTGCACAACCTTGAGATTCATTCTGGTATTCCTTACATTTCAGCTCGGACACTTATCGCACTTTAGTTTGGTTCGATTTAGACTTAGATTACAGATTTTATACAGAGATTTACTTTAAATAAAGACAAAAAAACAATTATATAAATTTTTCATCAAATAATTATACTGCGCTTTTCAAGCGCGGATTAGAATATAGTAGGTTATTATATCAGGACTGACCCAGATTTTAGTGGATACAAAATGAAATAAAATTTTGATTTTAATAATTTAGAGACCATAATATTAAGTCTTAAGAATTTGAGAATTCTAATGTTTCATCTAGTCATGTCAGGAGGAACCCCTTGATTATATGGAAAAACTATTAAAATCGCCTACCAATTAGCTATAAGGAGGTGTTGTTAGGTTTCTTTCATTCATGATCTGTTTACAACTTACAATACACAAAATAAACTTAACCTAATATTGCCAGCTTAGCAATATCCTTCTTGCCCTAATCTAATTAACCGAAAATCATACTTCCATAACCGGATCGAGAACTTATTTGCCGTTAGTTTGGTTTTGGTTTAATATAATTTCGTTCGGTTACTTTCAAGCCAATCCAAATGAAATAAGATTAGGGCTAACAAATTACCTGGAATCTGCAGATGTAATAATCGTCACCAAAGACACGTCTAAACGTCGGCATCAGAACACGATCTTGGTTCCTCAGAGAGAAGGCAACACTCATCTCATGTTGACCAGAGCCTTGACTTTCTCCGGTCAGCACAGACACAACTGCCACGCGATTAACGCTCCCCAGTCATGTCCCACCACGAAAACGCCTCATCTCCACCGGTCACGGCGTCGATGAGTGCCATTCAAGTCTCCGACCACGTTTAAGTAAGTGTACTCTTCCACTTTCTCCGGCGCGTCTGTGTCTCTGTAACCTCGAAGATCCGGGGCTATCGTCCGGTATCCCAAGGACGAAAGCGCTGTCATCTGCTGCCACCACGTGTACCAGAGCTCTGGGAATCCGTGGATGAAGAGGATGATTTGATCTCCTCCAGATCCGCATGCCGGAAACATGCCAGGACTCGATGGCATATAATAGAACACAAAACCCTCAGTTGTTTTCTTCATCACGTCCAAATTTACACCATATATGTTCAACCAAATCATCTTTCAGTGGTTGATACATTTTCTATCACGAATTCTTGTTTAAACACCCATCATATTGGCGATATTTGTAGGGATATCTGTAGAATACGTGAGATCGACATGTGAACTTCCGTTGTCTTCTTTTGTTGGAACTCCGAAACATCATACTGAGTCTATCCATCTCGTTCGTCTTCTACTATCATATACGGAGTATGATACATGCTCTCATAATCTTTCCAATTTTGACTTTATCCCAAAACAGTGCTGGATTTTTAACAATGGTAAAGCGAGCTTGCAAGACTCTAAAAGCACCCTCGCCATCTTTTCGGACAAGTTCTTGATGTTGAGCAAATAAAACTGCTTTCGGGCCTTGTGGTATTAGAATAGATTGGATAAAAGTTGTCCATTTCGGATAAATACCATTGGTGAGATAGTAAACCATATGATACTCTCTTCCATTGACAGAGAAAGTGACTTGATGAGCTTGACCTTTCATTATGTCATCAAAAACATGTGAGCGATCAATAACATTGATATCATTTAAGGTATCTGGAGGTCCGAAAATCGCATACCATATCCAGAGATCATATGAAGCAACTGCCTCTAAAACGATCGTTGGTTTACCTAAACCACGAGAATATTTCCCTTTCCAAGCGGTGGGACAATTCTTTCACGCCCAATGCATACAATCGATGCTTTCTATCATCTCGGGAAATCCACGATGCTCTCCAATTTGAAGTAGACGTTGAAGATCAGCCGGTGTTGGTCTTCTTAGGTACTCATCGCCGAACAAATAAAGTATTCCTTCCACAAAATTCTCCAAACATGGCCGAGTTGTCGTTTCACTGACCTTGTGCCGCTGCTTACAGTGATTTGCCTTCCTTTGCTCGCAGCCTGCAACCTTCTTGCTTGCTTCTGCAATTATTTTCCAGAATGCGCCTGATCTTTGCTCATTGCCCACAACTGGATATTTTCTGGTGTTTAACCACGAGCTGATGAGGAGAATATCATCCGTAGGAGTCCACCTCCTTTGTTCTCGGCGCTCTGCAAGACTGTCTTCAATGAAGTTTAACTCTTGAGTACCTTGAGTCTTTGAAAGACTATCTCCTGCGTTACTAAAAACTACATCTTGTTGGAATTATGTCTAAATGGATTAAATCCATTACCGAAGTCAGAGAAGAGAGAAATAAGAGCTATGAATCTGTTAGAGGTTGAAGAGAATAACTGGAAGTAAAGGAGAAGGAGTAGGAGAAGGAAAGAATTTATAATGTGATCAAGGAAAAAAAGAAGGAAAAAGTTTTATAGATGAAAGAGGAGGATAAATGTATTAAACACAATCAACCAACTCGAGTATCTTTCTTTAACTCATGCATTTAAAACAAAGCAGCAAAGAAGACTAAATAATACTCAAAACATCAAAACTACAAACAACTGCGAGTTGACATATATCTAACCCTTTCTATCAAACCATAACTTCGATTTATTACAACACACAACCATAATCAAACACAAACCAGATCATTTATTATCCATAAT